CCCCAAAACCCCAAAACCCCAAAACCCCAAAACCCCAAAACCCCTCTGAGATTATGCAAGATTGAAGCTCTATAAATAATAATGAGCAACCATGGGTTAGAAAAAGATGAAGCAACTTGGCTTAAGTACATCAGTAAGATTATCAGCAAGAAAATGGTGGAAGAGCCTCAAGAAAGATTAACTATAGATCTTACTAAAAAGAATACCATATCAGTACCAACTTTGGAGAAGTTGCAGTTTAATTATGAAAATAGCCAGGAAGCAAGAGACTACAACCTCGCGAAGACAATGAAAACGGCCTTGGATGTTTATTACAAAGAAATGCTTAATAAGGGAGAACTTTGACCAGAGATTGAGACTTCTCTTGATTTGGAAAATGAGGAGGCTATCAAGGCCCTCCGTCCTCAAAGTGCTCTCACATTCACACAGTATATGAAAAAGCACCCTGAGACCTCTGCCGATCCTGTGAAGAGAAGGAAGATGGTCAAGAGAGTTTTAAGAAATCCCAAAAAGTATATCTACTACAAAGACATAAATATCACAAGACAAAAGATGAAAAGTGAGGCGAAATAAGAAAAAGATTTTAAAATATAATTTTCTCTCTGCCAAAGAGCTTTTCCACCAGGAAATGAACATTGGTTTTGAAAAGTTCTGTCCAAATCTAGAGGTACCAAAAGCCTTAATACCAACTGAAAGATACGGGAGAAACAATACCATTAAGCCTGGAGCCTTTGATAAATATTTTCATCAGAGGAATAGTGAAATACGAGGAAGTCTAAGAAATAAATCTACTCAAAAAACAAAGAAAGGGCTCACTTTGAAGTCTATAAATGATAATAACAACATCTTACGAGTGAGGTAACCTTTGGTATCATCTTTAGAAAGCGGAGGAACTCTCAAGAACCTGTCAAAAACTTTGGGTTCCGATACACTCATCCAAAAGATACCAGAATTACTAAAAGGAGTTTGCAGCCAAGCATTTCTACTCAAGCCCCTGCTTCAAGAAAGAGAAGCAGCTGGGATAATTTTATTTTGTAAGATCTGTGCATAATCTGTAGGAAGATACAGCCTGAATTGACAATTTCAAAGTCAAAGTTTATCAAATTCTATAATATCCCTCGTTCTTCTCTAAAGCAGAGGGCTTAATTTTCAATTAATCCTCAATAAAATGGGGTTTTGGGGTTTTGGGGTTTTGGGGTTTTGGGGTTTTGGGG